ACAAGCCTGATGATGGCAGATGAGATTCTGCTGAAACGTCGCTACAACTTTAAAAGCACAACTATAATGAAGTGGGAAAATACCCGAACAAAGCCTAATACCATACATACATAAATACATATATACAATATAAATTATATATAAATTTATATACAAATTTATATATACACATTGCTATAATGCCTAGGATCAACAAATACCAATAAGACATTCTTTGATAAGATTAGCAATAATACCAATAGCACTTAGACTTATATACCATTTCACCAATGCTTTATAGTCCCCTCTAAGTGGTTTACAGAGTCAGCATATTGCACCCAACAATTTGGGTCCCCATTTTACCAACCTCAGAAGGATGGAAGGCTGAGTCAACCTTAAGCCAGTGAGACCCTTAGTCATAATTTGTGCTATTAAACAGCCCCCATTTTATTTCCAATTTTGGCACTTATATGATAGGTTCAGATTTGGTTGAGCATCCTCCAGTTTTTCCTTGGAAAATCAAAGCTGGAGAGACATTGTACTGGATCAGACCCTAATTTAAACAGATCTGGGTTAGTAGTTGTCCATTCCTGGTGTCATGCTGTCTTAGTATCAAAGTCCTTTCTAATTAATTTCGGTCCAGGTTTCCACCGTGGGTTCTAAGATTTGAGTCTGACTATTTGATCATGAAAGCCCTCATATATAGGTAATAATTGGTTTGCCTTGCGCTTCTGCCACTCCCTTTTTAAGGCTGATTGTCTTCTAAACTGAGGGTTGATATTTTAGATCAGTGGCCCCCAAGCTCTTGACCACCAGGGACCAGTTCCATGGAGAAAGGTTTTTCTGTGGACTGGAAGGGGTCTGGTTTTGCATTCTGCCTGCATTCCGTGGATGGGCTTCGCTTGTTTGTGCAGACTGGTTCCTGGCATGCCACAGACGTGGTGCTGGTCCATGGACTGGGAGTGGGTGGGTGTTAGATAGTACTATTCAGTAGCCATTCAGAAGGCATTTTAATAGTTCCTGAATGGTATGATTAAGCTGGATGTCCACTGCCTTTGTGTAAGAACTATTTAACCATAAAGGGATGCAAATATTCAGCTGTCAGATATACAGAAAACAAGAGCTGATGTCCTAAGAGCTGGAGCATTTGCTCTCCAGCTAGTGCCAGAAAGTTTATATAGAATATTGCTCCAGGTTTTTATTTTATCCATGATTTTCCTTAAGTATTCCTTATAGATTAAGAATCGGTCAAAGACCAGATCTGAATATTAAACTTCATCAGCTGATTCCTAAATTCCATTTTTGGTGTATAGTTAGCTTGTCTGTTGTTCAAGTGAAAACTGGCAACTTTGATTTTGTTAATTTTAGCCTCCAGATTTAAAAAAAAAACAAATTTCTTTAAATATATTTGAGGGCTTTTTCAGAGGTATTGAAGTCTTCAGATTGTTTTATCTGCACAATGTCATCAATCATATATACTTTCTTGCAGCAGTACCTGGCAGATCTGATGTATAAATATTAAAAAGAAGTGGATCCAGCACAGGATCTTATGGCAAGCTGTCATTTAACCTGTACTTCCAACTAATTTGGCCATCCAGATGTACTTCAATGTCTCTGTTTGAAAGCATACTGTTGAGTAGAACAACTGTTTTCTTACAAGGCTGTAAGAACTTTAGAATCATCCCTTCTCTCCACACTGTATCGAAGGCTGATGGTAGGTCAATGAACACAGCAACATATTTTTTCTCTCCATTTTCTTTATGCAATATTAATGATGATACCATATCACAGTTTCTTTTTAACTAAATATATTCTATTCTATTCTATTCTATTCTATTCTATTCTATTCTATTCTCTTCTATTCTATCCTATCCTATCCTATCCTATCCTATCCTATCCTATCTCTATCTATCTATCTATCTATCTATCTATCTATCTATCTATCTATCTATCTAGTCTGTTCCTTGGTCAGGAGTTTAATTCTATTTAAGATAAGTCTCTCCAGTAAATTATAAGATGCTTAAGAGTTCTATAGGTCTAAAATCTTCCACCGATTTCTCCGCTTTACCAGGTTTCAGGATGGCTACAATTTGGGTTCTTTTGAATATTGTTGGAGTCTCCCTGTTCATTGGATATCATTATATCCAAAGAGCCTCAGTGGCACAGTGATTAGAGTGCAGTACTACAAGCTACCACTTCTGCAGTTTGGCAGATCGAATCTCACCAGGCTCAAGGTTGACTCAGCCTTCCATCCTTCTGAGATGGGTAAAATGAGGACCCAGATTGTTGGGGGCAATATGCTGACTCTGTAAACTGCTTTGATAGGGCTATAAAGCACTATAAAGCGGCATATAAGTGCTATTATGAAACTGTGTGAGTCTGAGTATATAGCCTACAATGTTTCAAAAACTCAGGATATACTCCATCTAGTTCAGCCTTTTTTCCTGATTTTATCATTAGTGTTTTAGTGATCTCTAATGTAGAAAATTCTTCTGAGACATTGCTTTTAGATGTTAGTTCATTGATTCTGGGTTTTTCCTCCCTTTTGATTTCACTAGTTCTCTATTTATTCCCTACATTTTCTTTGTAAGGATCATTAGGATTGATGTTGCCAATGATTCATGAAGCTATCTCCCAGTTTTGTAAGCAGGGACCAATTCTTATTGCTGGCATGTTGAAAACTCATTTGCACTATAAAAGCGTATCACTTTTCTCTTGTGGCGGAGTCTAGACACTGGAGAAATTAATCGGCAACTTCAGGTTTATGATTCTCCGCATGTTGTGTAACTCTGACATTCTTGATTCCAGGTTGGGATATGTTTTTCTACAGCCCCTTGAAATAAGCTTCTTAACTATGGAAAGTAGCAATCCCACACATAGATTGTAATTTTCTACCTTAGGGGATTCACTGGATGTTGAATAAATTCCATCAAGGCTTAGGGCTCTATCCTACATTTGAGATCTTCACTCCAACGTTTAATAGCACAGATCCGTACTAACTTCCAAAGGATATCTGGAGTACTCTGTTACAATGTAATGGTGTATTGTGCATATACATGGAGACAAAATCACGTTGCCAGGGTATACCATGCGGCTAGTGTACATCGTACTTTATTGCTAGATGCAATAAAACACACTATGTACATTCAATACATAAAGCCAATATGCACTTTGCTTATTGCAGTTTGTGACTTTAGGCCAGCCAACTTTAGAAGCAAAGCTATGGATCAAATGTTTATAACATAGTGAATGTGGATTCACACATATTAAGTCACAATATAATCTAAATGGCTTTGGCTATCTCATATTCTGTGTTTCCACCCATTGTCAGTTGAAAAGCTTTATTTACTTAGAGGTCAAATTTATACAGCCACCCATCTTACAAAAAGAGACTCTGAATGGCTTACAATAATAATAACAATAAAAAATTCCCAACCCATTGCATGTACTATTATAAAAATGAAAAATCAATATAAATTTATTAATCAAAATAGATGTGCCTTATTCAGTTAAGTTACATGCTTCTTGAGCAAAACTTCGCATACAGTATGCCTCCATGCACTAAGGCCTCATTAAGATTTTACTATGGCATTATTATTACCTGAACATAAGATACACAGTTCAAAGTGCAAGATAATACCCATCCTAGACTCAAAATTCTTTAACACAAGCAGGATTTCTTTAGCGGCATCAATACTGATAATAGCTTTTGTTGGCAAAGTTAATTTAACAATAGTAAATTTAAAAAAGTGTGTAACTGTTCTAAAAAGTTACAGACAGTTGCTGTCTTTCAGAAACTCTCTTTGGTCAGTGATATGAAGCCCTGCAGACCCTACTTCTAGCATGATTATACACTGTTATTCATTTGTTTTCTTCTAAACCTTGGTAGATTACAAAAACCTCCTAAAAACAGGAGACACAGTCATCATGCGACCGCGAATCACTTCACCATAAAACTATTTACATCCTACCTTTGCAGGCCCCTCTCTCATTTTCTTCATTTGATCTTTATATTTCACCAGCTCTGCATCAAGTCTAGAAATTTTCTTATCAATCGATTCTGCTCTGCTGTCCACCTTTAGGAATAATGAATAAAGGAGCTATTAACTGGCAACTTGACTAAAGATATTAGTCAAAATAAAAAGTAAAAATATTCTACAGTATTTATTCAAATTCTAAACATGCAGTATTTATCAAATTGTTACATTTGTTTATCATCAATAATTCACAAAATGAATGATAAAGAAGAAACAAAAACTAGGGGCTACTTGAGAGATTTTTAAAAAACTAACTTAACATAGCTCTATCAGTTATAAGTATAAAGAGAACATATAAAGTATAAAGAGAACATAATAAAAATAACTGTTGAAAGTATTTATTTATAGACAATTAAGGATGTAAGGGACAACGAGGTTTTTTGTGTCAGAAAAAGAATTGCTATATCACAGTACCCAAATGTGAATAAACTTTAGTTTGAAATGTCTTTAAATATTAATAGTTCAGGTTGGTAGTTAGGCTGTTGGTTTGAGTTCTGAACTTGGCAACTGGGTTGCAAACATTTTATTACCATTTGAGGAGACAATGACTCCTTGAATAGTGACAAAACATTTGCAACCAAATTGCCAAATTCAAACCAACAGCCAAACTACCAATAACACCAATTCTAATTTTAAACAATTAATCTCTACTTACACTGCTTAAAAAGCCTTCGTTTTTTAATAGAAAAGTAACAATTGGGTCTGATACTGAGATTGTTATTGTTCCTCTAGGTACCCCTATAACTTCTAAATATTAAAAGTGTAATTTTGTCTTGATATTTTCCTCCATAATATATCCTAAATTAGGTGGCTGTAATCCAAAAACTCATCAAAAATATGTTCATGCACAGTATTATTTCTCTCCCTATTCTCCAATCCCCCTAATTTTGAACTAACTTGCCAAATAGAATGAAACTTGTTATTTTGAAATCACAAGATACAAACTATTTTAAATGGGCAAAACTACTCACATTCTTTGGAGGGGTAGAGAAAAGGGATAAAAATGATTAGCAGTCATAATATGGATTCTTTGATTTTACATAAATCACAACCACATCAAGCAAAGCATGTTCTCAGAGTCCAGCGGACAATTTATTAAATGAACTATGGTTAAGCAAACCATGGCTCAGCGTAAAACATGAATCAAATTACTGACTACATTTAACAATTCAAGTCAGAGCCTGTTTAAGATTTATGGAACTATGAAGACAACAGTACAATTTTTAAGTATGAACAAATGGGACATATGCAACTCAGTATTCAAACTACATTAAAAACACTTATTTGACGAGTTAGCAACCAGCAAATACTGTTCCCGAGAAAACATTTGCTGTTCTGCTACCGTAGCGACTACGTTTTCTTTTTCACTCTAGAGCAGTGTTTCTCAACCTTGGGCCCTTTAAGATGTGTAGACTTCAACTCCCAGAATTCCTTACCCAGCAAGTCTGGCTGGGGAATTCTGGGCGTTGAAGTCTACACATCTTAAAGGGCCCAAGGTTGAGAAACATTGCCCTAGAATTATCAAAAACAATATAGCAAATCTGCCAAATAGGTATTTAAACTAAAATGTCCTGAAAAATGGGATTCAGCCTTCAGACCAGATGCGACGACGATTGTCTTCTCTAGAGAAGCCGGCAATAACAGTGCTCCAGCCACCGGTCTCTCTCTGTGTGGTACCCACCGTGCCAATACAGTCCGTCAAATTCGGAGGTGGAGCCTTAGGCTTCGATTTACCGAACAAACGGTTCATCTCAGCAACTTAACCAGAGAAATACAGGCCAACTAGAAAACAAAGAACGACTTCAAAAGTTTCACAAGCCCATCAGACCCGGAAATTATCCATTGCGCCTGCTCAGGGCCCTCCCCTTTTGACACAACGACCAATCAGCGGACGGTAGAAACTGCGAGTGACATTTGGCTTAAAGACCGGAAGATGTTGAGAAAGAATGATTATAGGAAAATTGAAGTTTTCCGGGTTCCTTTGGAAAACACCGTTGAAGTGGAGAGCTTGTTAGTAGAGCAAGGGCGTATTTGCTTCGAACAAGGAAAGGGTGGAACTAAAGTATGGAGTAACAGGGGCAGAGCAAAGTGTTAGAGGTATTTGTTATCTTCGTTTTACTTTTGTAAAATAGTAGGCAACATGCTATGCTAGATTGGGCTAAATGAAGGCTACAAGATCTGGACTCCAAACAACAACGAGATAGTGCAAAGAGATACCACTCTGGTTTTATCCAGTGGTCTTTTGGATTATTATAGAAATCATTTTAACAAGTTCCCATTGCACACTTAAGAGCACATTTACAGAGTGAGTTTATACGTTCTGTTAAGTTTGTTTTATGTAGTAATAGCTGGCTAAATTTGTATTGCTCTTTAAATAATGTTTTACTGCATTTGGTAAATCAGCTTTAACAGTGACTTGAATAAGGACAAACGACAAAAGAGGGATAACTGAGTGGCTTAGTTTACTTTTAACAGTGTAAAGCCTTCTCCATGAATGTGTTCAAACTCTAGGTACTTTTATTTCTTGCTTTCCATAGGATGCTGGAAAGACTAACTAAAGTTTACTCCAGTATGTGCGAACAAACTCTATAAAGTTAATGGTTTTTTTGTACAGCTGAAGCTTAAATATTTATAATATTCAGATAATTGGGGTGCCTCATGCAAATACAGTCAATAGGAAAGACTTTGGTTAGATTTATGTAATAAATTAAGACATGAATTTATAAACCACAATAACTGTGTTCAAACATCTCACTGAATTATATTTTTTAATTACATGTGATCCTGATCTAACAAATACTGATGAAACTTTTGAAATTGAATTTTATTTCATACATATAGGAATCAAAAATATAAGTCCAATACAAACACTTTAGATGGTCAAAATATATCATAAAGAATTCAATTTATTATGCTGAGTCAGCATGATTGGGGCCAATACCTCATTTTTCCCCCCACAATAATATAAGGGCTTAATATGAGATGGAAATAAGGAAGACAAGCGTTCTGATTAATGGCTTGACCAAGAGTTTAGCTACCTGTCAAAATTCATTCTGATTATATGCAAAAGTGACTGCAGTCAAAGAAGTGTAATTATTGGGCAAAACAAGGCAGTTACAGAAGAATGCCATACCTATGTTCAAAAGCAATCCAAGGAGTAATTTGGGAGACTTGCAATATAGGGAGATTTGCACAACAAATACAGAAAATCTCCTCTCACTTTAAAATATGGTGTATTCTTCCCCTCCCCCACCTTACCTACTGCCATTGCCCATCAATCACTCTTCAGACTAATACAGCACTCTGACCTGTAGTAGTTTGTAAAACAGTTGAATACAGAAGGACAATCTGGTTTCAAAAAGTAGATTCTTTTTCCGTATAAAGCAAAATAGCCAGAGAGAGGAAGGCAGATGCCAGCCTTAGTCCAATGCAGCCAGTAGAGGCCAAACTAATCCTAGCCCTGGGGTGGGAGATGCAATGTCACCTGATTTCAATAAGTCTAAATGATTGGTAAAATGTACACATTCTTCTGCACAAAAATGTCTTGTTGCTTGGGGAAAAAGCAGTATTTCAGGGTTTAAAATATAGTTATGGATAACTTTAAGCTACCTTAGTTATGAATTCTGAATGAGATGAACACAATGTCATAAAGGTATGGCAATAAAAAGAAATACTGGTACAGACTCAGGCAAAGGAAATAAAAGCCAAAGAAAATTGCTAAACAAAAGATGATATGGATTGTTTTATAGTGCCATATAATATGCATCTGTCGAGTTTATAATTCCTCTATTTTTTTTAAATTCAGTGTATTATATTAAAATGCTGAACACACCAATAAATTGGGAAGATGGTTGGCCCACAAACTAAAAGGAGAAAAAGAAAAAAGGTTGATACAGGAAGAGAGATACAACATAGAATAGTAGAAAAGAAGAGACTAATCCAGAACTATTTCAAAAGATTATATGAGGATAGCGTAGATATAGATTGTATAGAACAATACCTACAAGGAAATAGCTTAGCAGAGTTAAGCAAACATCAAAGAAAAATATTAAATAGAGGGATAACAGCTATGGAACTAGAAAATGCAGTACAAAAACAGAAAAGTAATAAAACTCCAGGACCAGATGGAATCCTGGCAGAGGTATACAAGTGTTTTTATGAAAGCTTTGAAACTATACTGTTGGAATGTATAACGACATATTGGAAGAATTAAAAATACTAGAGTCATGGATTGAAACTTACATTTCCCTTAGAGGGCACAATCCACAAATAAACTAATAACTAGAGACCAATCTCGCTGTTGCATGTTGACTATCAAATTTTTACCACAATAATGGCAGTAAGTTTGAAGATAGTGCTGAATGAAATAATACATCCAGACCAGAATGGATTCCTGCTAGCAAGGCAAATTAGAAACAACACAAGAATGGTTCTAGACATTCTAGAATATTATGAGGCACATCCCGGAAAACAGGCAGTACTAATCTTTCTCGATGCCTAGAAAGCATTTGACAACTTTAATTGGCAGTTTTTGATCCAACAAATTAAGAATATGAGATTTGGAACACGTTTTGAAAAAAATGATCAAATGAAAAAATTGAAAAAATGACCCCAGCCTAGTTGAAAATTACAGACCAATCTCTTTATGTTGCGTCACCTATAAAGTCATGGAATCAATTATTAACCAATCCATTATCCTCCACTTAGAGACAAACAACCTTCTCTCTAACAAACAATTTGGTTTCAGAAAAAAACTATCATGTAATCTGCAACTCTTACACTGCAAAAACATATGGACTGCATAACTAGATCAGGGCAAAAGAACAGACGCAATTTACATAGACTTCTGTAAAGCCTTTGATTCAGTGGTACACGACAAACTACTCCTAAAACTAAAATCATATGATATCTCTGGACACCTGCATAACTGGATAGAAGCATTCCTGTCAAACAGACAACAAATGGTCAAAATTGGGAGTGTCCTATCAAATTTTGTACCTGTCAACAGTGGTGTCCCCAAAGGCAGTGTTCTAGGACCAACTCTTCATACTCTACATAAATGACCTCTGTGATCATATCAAGAGCAACTGTGTTCTCTTCGCTGATGATCTAAAGTTATTCAGCACCACCGACAATACTGCTACCCTTCAAAAAGACCTTGACTAGTATCAGAATGGTCAAATAAATGGCAACTTCAAATCTCAACAAATAAATGCTCTGTCTTACATATTGGCAAAAAAATCAGAAAATAAAATATAAGCTGAATAGTCAAGACCTTATTGATGATCCAAACTCTGTCAAGGACCTTGGAGTACTCATATCTAATGATCTAAATGCTAAAGCCCACTGTAACTACATAGCCAAAAAGGCATTAAGAGTTGTTAACCTAATCCTGCATAGCTTTTTCTCTGGTAATATCTTACTATTAACTAGAGCATACAAAACATTTGCTAGACCAATATTTGAATACAGCTCATCAGTCTGGAACCTGCATTACGTATCTGATATTAATACAGTTGAGAAAGTCCAGAAATATTTCACAAGAGGAGTTCTCCACTCCTCTACTTGTTGCAGAATACCTTATGCCACCAGACTTGAAATTTTACACCTACACAACCTAGAATGATGTCGCCTTTGGTCTGATCTAAGTATAGTACAGAAAATTATATATTGCAATGTCCTACCTGTCCAGCTTCAGCTTCAACCATAATAATACAAGAGCACACAATAGATACAAACTCAAGGTAAACCGCACCAAACTTGATTGCAGGAAATACAACTTCAGCACCAGAGTGGTCAATGTCTGGAATACTCTACCTGACTCTGTGGTTTCTTCCCCAAACCCCAAAAAATTTAACCTTAGACTGTCTACTTTTGGCCTTACCTCTTTCCTAAGAGGTCTGTAGGGGGCGTGCATAAGCGCACCAACGTGCCTACCGACCCTGTTCTATTGGTTTTTTTTTCTTATATGTATCCATTTCATGCATTCATAATAGGTACTTATACCTGTTATCTTATAATCGCTTGACAAAATAAAATAAATAAAATAAAAATAAATAAAACAATATACACCACCCAAAAAGCTAGGGTGATGGTAAATGGAGACTGTACCAAGATATTTGAAATTAAAAAAGGAGTAAGATAAAGTTGTCTTATGTCACCTCTACTTTTCATATTAAAGATAGAAGTGCTTCTAACCCAAATCAGGCAAAATGAGAATATAAAAGGATTAAGGATTAAAACCAGGAATATAAAATGCAAGCAGTTGCGGATGATTTAATGTTCTTCATTGAGGAACCAATAGAGACAGGAACAAATTTGATAAGGGAAATAGAAAGATATGGGTCAGTGGCAGATTAAAAATTAATAAAAAACAAAAGTGCTAGTGAATAACTTAACGGAAAAACAAAAGGGAATTAGAAGGAGAATTGGGATTACAAATGGAAAAAAGGATTAAATATTTGGGGATCTGGCTCACAGGAAGATGCTTGACTGTAAAGGAAGATAACTATAAGAAACTGATGTTACAAATTCAAAAAGACTTAGAGAATTGGAAAAAGCTGCAATTATCATTGATGGGCAGAATAGCCACGATAAAAATGAATATATTACCAAAATTGTTATGTTTATTCCAGACAATTCCTATTAAACTAGACTGAAAATTTTTCAAAGAATTAAATAGTATGGTACTCAAATTCATATGGACGAAGAAGAAAGCACAAATAAATGTAAAAATGCTACAGGACAGTATAAATAGAGGTGGCCTAGGACTTCCAAAATGGGAACTTTACTATCAGCGGCGGTCCTGCTTTGGATTAAAGAATGGATAAATTTAGAAAACAAAAGAGTATTAACAATTGAAGGACACAATCTACAAGCAGGATGGGACGCTTTCCTGTGGGATAAATGAGAAAATAAACATTCATATTTCTATTGCCATCAATTAAGAGACTCACTAATAACGACATGGGGGAAGATAAGGAGGAAACATTATATGAAAATACCAGATTGAGTGTCAGCAATGAAGGCAGTGAATTACCCAAACACAACAGAGAAGAAAAAGATGATTAGAAATAAGGAATTAGTAGACAATCAGGGAAATTTAAAAATAAATGAACAGGATACAATTGTGGATTGGTGGCCATATTTGCAGATACGAAAGAGGCATTAAAAAGATATAGAAGAATATGGAATAGAAATGGAACCCCAACAACTAGATCAAATTCTGACTGGGAAGGAGGAAAAATTTATAACTAGAACGTATAACTATCTGCTAAAAGTAGAAATGGAAGAAGAAATAATAAAAGGCCCCATGATTCCATAGCGCAAAACATAGGGGCATACAGCTAGAAGATTGGGAAAGAATTTGGATAAAAAATTGCAAATTAACGTTGTCAACAGCATACAAAGAAAATTTATTTAAGATGTTTTATAGATGGCATTTGACACCAGTGAGAGTGGCCAAAATATATCCGAACATGAAACTGAAATGTTGGAAATGTAAGCTTACAGATGGAACATTTTACCAAGCTAAAAAATATTGGGAAAAATTGAGGAAATGATACAAGAAATTACAGGATATGGCATTGAATATAAACTAGAAATATTTTTATTAGGGATGATCAAAGGAAATTTAAGGAAACACATCCAATACATCATACAGCATATAATAACAGCGGCAAGGATTGTTTATGCCCAGAGCTGGAAAGTAAAAAATGTACCTTCTGAGGATATACAGTAGTAATAAATAAAATGCTTGACTGTGCCAAAATGGATAGGCTCATGAGGAAACTGAAAGGTAAAGAGGAGACAGTTCTATGAGGTATGGGATATATTGTACTTTTGGTTAGAGAAGAGAAATATTGTTTAATATGGAAAATAAATGTAAAAATATGTAAATGCTTGACACAGCACTGTTAAAAATGTAAATAGTATGCACTTTGAAAATAAATAAATATAAAAAAAATAAAAAATAAAATGCTGAACTGGGTTAATGTTTCAAAACCATTGTGAGAAGCTGGAAGAAAAAGTTTTAATGTTCATTCTTGGTCTGGATAAAACTGGGACCCTTACAAATTCTACTTAAAGAATTATTGTTCCAAGAGCTCCATTAGCCTGCATCTAGGATTTGAAACAACTTAGTTACATTTTAGCCTAGCATGCTGAGTGAATCCAACCACGTTTATGATTCAATTTCAGAGTGCTATGAATATTCAAGTACTGAGGTAATAGAGTATTTTTATTTATAAATGTTGTGTAAAAGTAATATTTCATTTACTTTCAAAACAGATAAACCTGCTGGATTTCAGGTCTCTTTTTTCTGTCAATTAGAGTTCAATCACAAACTCTTTCTCTGATGTTAGCACAATATGATTTGTATTGATCCATATGCAAAACACCACCATCGAATTATCATTATTTTTAAGATAGGTGCTTTCGGTATTTTGGACTTTTAGTTTGAATAGACAAGCAAAAATGTGCATGTAGAATAAATTATTAATTATGAGATAGGAATGGAAAATCCCTTTATTACTGCTGGAACAGTCACCTCCGCCTTCAAAATTGTGTTACTGTAAAAAAAAATTCTTTGACATCGTGTGATAGAATAAACTGTTAACAATTTTCCTTCTGCACAAACGAACGTATAAACGCTGCTTGAATTTGGCTCTCAGAAACATCCTGCAGTACCTTATTTGTAGTACAAGGAAGGAGGTATTTCTTTACCCTCCAATCACCGCTATCAAGACGAGGGGCTGGTTATCGGAAGTTTTCCGGCGTCACACCCCTTCTTCCCCCCGTTTTTCTAGGTGCCGGGCAATTTCCGGACTAGAAGGAAGGAGAAGCGGCTGCTGGCTATCTCAGAGGCAGCTCGAGCGGAGGGGTGGACGAGCAGCAATGGCGGGGCCTTACGAAAGCTCGCCCGTGATAGTAACGGTCACGTATGGTAAGAAGCCGTGCCAGAAAACGGGAAAAAGGAGGTGGGCAAGTCTTCCCCGCTGACTTGTTGCGGCTTGGCGGTGACAAGCCGCTGATCTTGGTTGTCGCAGCCACGCATGACAGTTAGCCATCAAGCTAACTGGTTTGGGAGGAATGGGGTCCGCGGATACTGTACAGGAATTATTTTTGTATTTCTTGTGTTGATGTTTCTGCCTCCTATTTCCCTATCCTGTTCCCATTTCTTTTAAATTTCGATCGAATTTTCTACCAATTGGCCCGGTGATTACTTCTCCCAGCAGAAGTAGCCATACTGTATTTTGGTGAGTGCATGCGTGAATAAAAAAAGATTAGTAAAGGGAAAACCAAATTTCGACTACATGCTTGGAGCAACTTTTACCTACCTGATGCTGGTCGAGAGAGCCGATCATCTCATATGAGAGTTGTCTTGCTAATCTTGGTATGCATGTCAGTTGTAGTTTTACCATTAGACTACTACTACTAAGTTGGGAAGGCTGAACTAGACACCCCATGCATGCATGTAAAGTTAACAGTTAGATGATGCATATATAGTGGCTAGGTTTACACTTTATCTGGTTCAGTAAACCTCTAACAAAGAACTGTGTGCCTTTGGAATAGCTTATACCTGGTTAACTGGAACATTCTGACCTTCACATATTTTAGAACTGTAAAAACATGGCTGCTTCAAAATATATTTAGAATGAATTGGTCATGCTGCTCCTGAAGAGTGTTCCACCAGACTGTTATATATTAATATGTAACTATATATATAACTATATATAAACTATATATAAATTATTCTTAAAATTTTTATTTATATTCTGTAAAACGTTTTGTTCTGACATGGAGCAATATATAGGAATAATAATAGTTAATAGTGACCAATGTTATAGAATTATTGGAAATGGTACTGATAAACTAACTCATAATTCATAGTATATACTGCCAAAAAATTATATGATCATTGTGAATAAACCTCAACTGGCTGTAATTAACAGTACATTAACCTTCCCTGTACAAAAAAATTATGAAATATGTAACAATCCATCAATTATTAGTTATCACATTAAACTAAAACTAAACAAATTATGGCTTAACTCATCTATGACCTTCATTTGTCACCTTAAACTGTCATATTAAGTTTTGTATGGCATACCAATGACCATACAGATAGTCCTCAGTTATGACCACAATTGAGCCAAAATTTCTGTTGGAAAGGCAGTAAAGTAAAATTTGCCTCATTTTACAACCTTTCTTGTCAAAATTGTTAAGTGAATCACTATAATTGTTAATTTAGTAACATGGTTGTTAAGTGAATCTGGCTTTCCAATTAACTGGTCAGAAGCTCGCAAAAAGTGATCACATGACCCCAAGACATTGCAACTGTCATAAATCTAAGTAAATTTGCAAACATTTGAATTTTGATATGTGATCATAGAGATGCTGCAACAACTTCTTGCTCTTTATGTGTGTCTGTTTTAATTTAAAATTGATATGGGGTTTGGAGACAAAGTGGGTTCTCTCTCACACAGACACACACACAGAGAGAGAAAGGGGGGGGTTCATTTAATTATAAATTTAGTAAGTTGTATGAACCCAGCCAATTATGGTTTATTCAGTAAATCATAATTAACCAAATTAATCAGTGAGCTACTTTTCACACAAGAAGCTTAGCCATCTTTGAGTTAATCCACTGAGTTGTTTGAAGCTAAATCAGAGGATGAATTGGGTTTAAGGAGGAGTGCTTTAACAACAACCTGTTTTGTTAATGATAGCTTCCTAAACTTAAACCTATGGTCTAATATTTATTCAAACCCATTTAGAAGACTATAATAATTTCTATTTCTGCCTCTATTAACATAACACATAAACCTGCCTGATTTGCTTTAGGGTTCTTAAATTGTCTGGAATGCAGAGGTTCTTCTGGTACATTCTCATCATAATGGATCTTAAGTTTATTAAACAATGCTTGATCGTTTGGACCCATCCTAGCATTTAAGTCCCCTCCAATAATTATTGCTGCTGTGGGGTATTTGTCTGAACAGCCAAGGATAAAATATTCTATGCCATCCCAAATCTTGTTGATCAAATCCTTATTGAGTGGAGGAATAGATATTAAAAAGCAAAATCACCTGTTCATATAAAAGTAAGGTAGTCACAACTCACGGCTGAAAAGGTGGCAGTGATACACATTTAAATTGCAGGGCTGTATTAACTAATGTCACAATACCCCTTTAGCTCTCCCACCCACTTTACTTGGGGCAGCTGGGATAGAGTTGGTCCAATAACCATCTAACTATATCTCGGGAGGGAGGGGTCTCCAGATTTCCTGTAAGAAGAGGATGTCAAATTGTGATATGTAGTCAAAAAAGAGTTGGTCTTTTGATGGGACAGTCCAGCCCGCTAAATTCCAGGTTATAATGGAGAGGGGATCATCATTTACTGCTCATCAGGAAATTTGATTTATACAAAGGGAAGTTGTAGGATTGTTGCAATGGACTGAGATGTCCTTGCACACGAAATTGGCTTTCTCTAAAAGGAGGGGAGACCCATTTGAATCCTGTGTAGACTCCTGTGGAAATTGTTCAGAATAAGGGGTTTTAGCACCAGCTAGCAGAGATTGCCATTCCTGTGCTTCTTCTCTAGGTATAGGGCAAAGGGTTATTAAGTCATGCTTCATTCGACTTTGAGATGATGGTACTGTCGTGGGACCTCTCCCAATCTCTTGTTGTGGTGCTGAAGGTATCATAGTATATTCACATAAGGAGGATAGTATCTCCATCTCTACTGGAGCCTCTGGTGGTCCCTGTATATCTTGGCTTCTGTTTTCCATCTCATATTCGTGCAATCCTTTGCCCTCCGGGGGAGAAGTAAGAGGTTTAATTATTGGGGAGACCAGATCTATAAGCAGTTCAGCAGCGTCCATTGTGACCAACAAAGATTTCTTTAAATTTTCTAATTTGAATAATATGTTATCTTGCTCTTTTCTTGGGAGAGCGCCAAAAGCATTAATGAGGCCTGTTTCTGTGCTGTTAAGTACATCTTCACCGATCAAGGCTGGCTGACTCCCACTTTCTTTCTCTCTTTTTTCCAAGGTTGAGAATGCAGAAGAGACAGCAGCCGTGGGCGCTCACATGTTAACAATTAAAGGTTTAACCTTTTCCTCACAGAAAACTCTGATGGTAAAAATTGGGAAGGAGGCTAAATGTGCCTTCATCTTAAACAGCATCAGCGGTATGATGGGCTGCTTGAAAGACAGGAGTATCGGCTTCCAATTTGGGACCTCAGGAAGCCACTCCACAGCACGAAGATCAATCTGCCCCCGATGGCAGTGAAGAAGCTGACTTAGGGAATTTATATAGCACTTTTAGTAATCCAGTGTCTGTAATTAAGTCTGTTCATATGGATTCTCAAAGCAAACTGTTGTGTTTGCAATGAGCGATGAGATTGTAGGGGAGATGCTTTCCTGGCTTCCAATGAAACTTTTCTATTGATACCTCCTCCTCTTGTTGCCTTGTCTGGAGAAGGGCTGTTTTCTGAGAGGGCTGCCACTTTTTAACAGGTTTTTTAACTATTTCCCAGGATCTTTGCTCTTTTTCTTTTTCCATATCCTGAGTATGGGATTTACCCAGGTCTGCCGTAAGCACGTTGGTGATGGGGTCTGTAGCCCGATGCTGTGCTTGCAGAAAGCCAGCAATATCTTTTCTTAGAGTCTCTACATCATGTTGGATGATTATTAATTGTTCAAATATTGAGACAACCGTTTGCGCTGTGAGAAGGCATTGTTTTGCCATAAACTCTGTTGTAATCTCCCAGGCTAAACTCTCCTCACTTTGAATTAAATTATTGTTAATCTTTTTAGTCTTTATCACAGTCTCCATATCAACTGTAACTGGCTTAGATGTTTGTGAAAAAAATCTGGCAGTCATTTTGCTCCTCCCACACTAGATCAGGAAAGTCTAATATCTGCTGTTTTGTCAGATCTCTTTGCAGGTCCCTTTCTAACTTCTCAAGATAGTTAGAAATGGAGGGGGGTTAGTTTTACTTACAGATGTCTTGCCAGCAAAGTGCTCCTCAATTCTTGGTTGTTTTGCAGCCTTCTTTGGTGGGAGAGATCCTGGGCTAGTGCCATGGCACTTCTTTGTTTTCCCCATGCCTTGTTAGTCCTCAGCAAAACAAAAACTTTTGTCTGTATTGTAGTCTATGCTGTTATCTTCTCTGGAAAATATTATTTAAATAAAAAGGATCACTCCGGCAGCTGGCTTCCCCCGGCTCCCTATTAACATAACCTTTTCGGTCTCTTAAGAAATAATGGAACTTAGAAGTGGAAAAGTGAAGGCTTTTTAAAAAAAGTTTCCCTCATAATTTATATATGGAAAACAGGAAAGTTTTAAGTGTAAAATCAATATCCAATGTAATTTTAATTTGAGTAGTGAGATTGACGCTTATTTTTGTTATATTTTAATCTACTCAGATAATTTCTAATCTGTAATAGAAAGGTTTTTTTATCTTTAGGATAAACTATTATAGTTCTTGTTCAGACCCCAGTGTGAAAAAGTAGCAATCTCAGTGCTGATAAATATTCTCAGTCATGTAAGTAATTATCTGGAAGTTGAGTCGTGGCAACTGGATTTTTTTCTTTTGGACTTGAATATATATATTTAAATATTTTTATACTTTTAAAGATTCTCTGCTTACTCAGCTAATAAGCATATATATATATGTGTGTGTGTGTTTTCTTAAGTTTTCGCGGGTACTTACACGTATGTTATTCAGCTTTGTTCGGGTATTTTCCCACGTCATTGTAGTTGTGCTTTTGAAGTTGTGGCAACATTGTGCTTTTAAAGTTGTGGCAACCCAAACAGAGCTGAATACCATACATATAAATACCCGCGAAAACTTAAGAAAACATATATATATATATATATAAGAAAACAAATATATATAAGAAAAAAATACACACACACACACACACACACACACACGTAT